AATAATGAATGTGCTAAAATTTATAATGCGAATCATCCAAACCACAACGTGTGAGTAATCAAAACATTAAACTTCAGGTTCTGTTCACAACAGAAAACATGAAGTATCTCGTCCTGTCAGAAATGACGGAGTTGAAATGGAAGTTTTAGGACATGTACAAATGGATAATCGGCAATCTATCAGACAATTAGGTAGAGCGTCTGGTGTATCAGCTACTAGTGTTTTTCGGATTTTAAAAGCCTACAAATTCCACCCTCTTGAAATAAGGCCAGTTCAGGAATTAAACGAAGATGATCCTGATAGTCGACTTCAGTTTTGTGCGGTGTTCAGCGAGAAATTGATCAATAACCCAAACCTATTATACAATACATATTTTTCAGATGAAAGTTCTCTCATGTTGAATGGTGAAGTGAATAGACATAATTGTCGTCACTGAAGCGATGTGAATCCTCATTTGGTGATGGAATCACATTCACAAACTTCACAAAAATTGAATGTCTGGGCCGGCATTCTTAATAATCATATTGTTCGACCATTCTTCATTGAAGGTAATCTCAATTATCTATTACAAGACTGTGCAGATCCTATGATTACCCAAATTTTGGAAAATGATGACAATTTAGTACAAATGGGGGTGCACCCCTACATTTTGATGTTCGGGTGAGACAGCTTTTGGACGAACGTTTTCCAATGCGTTGGAGTCCAGTCCAGTGGAGCGGCCAGCTAGATCACCTGATCTCACACCGATGGACTTCTTTCTGTGGGGACACCTGAAGTCGAAAGTGTACTCTGCTAATCCTATAAATCTGAAAGACCTGCGACATAGAATTGTTCGGGAATGCCATTTGCTGACTCCAGACATCTTGAATAATGCATGGAACGCTTTCGAGATTAATGTGTATTATTGTATAAAACTAGGTGGAGGTCATTTTGAACAATTTATCCGTTTATTTTGTTTCCATTAATTGTTGTTGATTTCCTCATTTAAATTTTCTGTTTTTTCTCAAATGAAACGTTCAACAATTGATTTCTCAATAACGAATGAACCAATTCCGAGGTAATACAGGGACATAGGTAATGGAGGAACAAAATACCTTTCAAATGATGTATCACTCGACCTCCCATGCCATTGACAAAAATGGAAAGGGTAGTTGCTGACCGCACAGAGGTGAAGTTTCGGGTATGATTTTCATATCAGAAAAGTCCCCCTAGAAATAAAAATTGACTTGTTCTTTGAAGTTATTGATTACACGTTCGTTTCGTTGGAACCTAACACTTTAGTATACTTTATAGCAACTTCAACTACTGAATTATGTTCTATAAAATTGCCCAAAGACAGCATTTTCATAAAGTACCTAGTAATTAATGTATTGGAAATACAACGGAGCTTTCCTTTATTTCCAAGGTTAGAAGTATTGGATCATCCTGCATAATGAGAAAAAAAGTAATTTGATGGTCAAGTTTGTATAGGTACCTGAACAAGTGAATTCATCAATCTGAAAGTTTTCTCTTAGTTCCATTCATGAAAATTTTTTGACTCCACGAGCAGTTGAAATCAAAAAAGTGGAAACTTGGTTTTGAAAATTCATTAGACATTTCTATGAAGCAAATTATCCAACATAAAGTCATCCAGTATATTTTAAGAAAATATAATTACCAATTCCTGATATTCTCACATGCACAACAACAATAACGGAATCAACAAGTGTCGACCAACTTCATAACCTTGTACCTACTAGCTTACAAAAAATTTGATTCAATACTCAGAAATATCATCTTGCATGGTCTGGCACGTAAAAACAGGAAAGATATTTCTTTCGATTACAAATCATGTAATTAAAAATTATACCTCCTATAAATTAACCTGTCATATCAGCCAGGTGGGAGTTAAATATAACAAGCAAGGTTATTCGTCGAGTCTGCATAAAGAAATGGAAGAAGATAATAGTAGGTGAAACGAAAATACACTGTATTTGGATAATTGTTATCGACTGTTTGAAGAAGGAACGTTCTCATTCACTATCATCATTTTCCCACATGAAGTATCTTTAATTCAGGTTATGTGGATAGGTACAGAACAGAAATATTGAAAAGCAAAAGGTTACCAGAATTAGGTTACTGATCTTACCAAATCACTCTTCAAAAAAATATTAGACCTCACCTGATTTACACATCATTTCAATAACCAACAAAGACTATCATTTTCATAGCTATCAGAGTTATTGTCAAACATGACATCAAACTATTTTTTCCATTTTCGAATCATAATGAATTTTGAAGTGAAGTTGTTGTTGTATGATTTTGAAAAATATGAATTTGATACAATTCATTGTTAAATTTTCACAAAACTGTTCAAAAAACGTGGTATTGCGAACTATTGAGATATAAAGTATCAATAACGTTTTTCGTGGATTCTCATCAAAAATATCATATTTATGTGAATCTATATATTAATCGTATATGGGAAAAATAATCCACGGGCAGATTTGAAATGGTTGATGAGTTTTACAAAAAATCCAAAGTATTTCATTAGTGAAATGAAAAACGAGTAATTCAGACGGAAGTTCCTTTTCAATGTCGGAGCAGTATGGTGATAATGGTGTGAGCTTTATTGAATGCATCACTGTTAAGAGTGAATCAGAAAAATTGGATCCGGAAACACTATCCGTAGCAGCCTCACGAAAACCAGGCCACCAAACACGGACTGCGATTCCAAGAATTGCATTTACCAGATACCCTGTGAGTGCGGAAAATCCTATATCGGTGAAACTAAGAGGCCATTGAATATTCGCATTGATGAGAACAAGAAACACACACAGCAATAGGGAACCAGCAAATCAGGAATAGCAGATTATGTTTTGACCCATCAACATAACATCGAGTGGTCTCAAGCCAAAGTCATACAATGGGAGGAACATTGGTTTAGGAGGAAATTCAATGAAGCCGCATATATATTGTCCAACAATGTATTCAGTCAAGCTAGCGTAGAGACACGCAACATATAGAAACCCATAATCAAGCGAAAAATGGCCAACTCCCGCCAAACGGTCATCTCCCACTAAACCGGTAACGCGGAAAAAAGAAACCGGAGATAAGTGAAATTACTCGAACTACCCACAAATAGTCATTTCTCGGAGGAATTAGTCCAGTCATCACCCGAAGACGATTGTGGATACTAACAATCGAAACGTCGTGAAGTAATGCTGAATGATTTTTGTTTATCTACTATTCCGTTTTGAGTACAAATGATTACTGGAATTAAGAACGACCCATAGTAGATTATAATCAATGAAAGTCCGAACTGATGAAATTCATCATGAAATATTTTCAGTCACCTTCAAACAAACATAAAATTAATTATTTTTCGAACTATTTCTAGATATTGAGTATATGTCCATTCCAAATTCTTTTTTCAACCAGAAATTGAATTAAATAGGCCATTGACTGGGAAAATAGACAATCGTGGGTTTTATTTTGAGCTGTTTGATAAAATTTTACAAATTCTGCTCCCACGTTTTTCAATTTGAACAATCTGTGCTTCATTTTATGACAATAAGATATCATGGTTTTTGATCTAAGCTGGACGTACGAAATTTGTAAAATGGATGTTATATCTATTATCATCAATGAATAATCAAAATAAGCTATCGATTCAAAATATAAGTGTCAATCGCATTATCTCTCTTCATAATTCATTAGAATTACAGTGTTCGTCAATGATTTTTATTGCTGTGTAGGTGGAAAGTTACTATTTTTCTAGCTTGATAATATTTTCATAATATACCAACTTATACACATTTTAATTAATTTGAATTGATAGTGTCGTAATAACCGTATATTTAAATGTTTATGGCTCTCAGTTGAGAGAAAAAATATTGTTTTCGCAATCTAAGGTGTTCGTTTTTATAAATACAATTCATCATAGTATTTTACGTGCGATATGATTATGTTATTCAAAAATATTGAGAGTAAATCAGTATTTCGTGAGATTGTGGTCTACTGTGGAATTACATTTCTCAGATCAGCAATTGGAAAGTTTCTATTGTCATGATTTTTAGGCGAATCCGGTATGGCTACTCTTTCTGTAGAGGACTGATTGAATCGTTCTTTTGGTGTAGTATTCTTGTTTATGAAATGAACGTTACATTACATAACATTTACCGCTATAATTGTAGAATTTTCCTCAAAAACGTTGTTACTACTATTTGTTTTGCTCGACCTTATTTCACATATAAATTTTATCTTACCTTCAATGAAAGTAATTATTACCGATCATTCCGAAAAAAAAAGGACAGGGTGATGATGAAATTACTGTACACGGCGTCATTCATTTGTTTGTGCCGTAAGAAATGTCAAATCCGAAACGAAGCTACAGTTAATTGAAGCTGATATTTCCAACGATATAACAATTGTAGGTAAACTGTTTCAGTTCACCTACAAATAAACCTAAGTCATGAATTTTAAATGATTTATTGTATATTTCTCAGAAAATTTCGTAGGATATAAAATTCTACAATCTATATAATATGCCAATCAGTAGCCATTTTCTAAAAAGTGTAATTTTGCAGAAATATGACGTCATCTATGGAAGTATTTTCGAACAACTTTATATACCAAGAAACAAAGGAGAAAGTAGAGATACTTATTTTCAAAATTCAACTGGATGGGATTTTTTATTGTTTTATCAGAAATAACGGTTCCAATAGCATATACCTTTGTATTAAATTTCGAAATTTCACGTCCCACAAGTGAATGATACCACGTGTAATGATTTCGTTGTCATCCGGTATCTAGTATCACAAAATATTGGGGTAATTTAAAATTTTTCTCCTTCTTTATGAGTCTACTTTAAACTGTAATATCTCAGTAAATACTTATTCATTTCAATCGAAATGAACGTCATTTGAATTAGTGCACTTCTACCAACGTAACAAAAGTTGATTAACTCCGTTAGCATAAAAATTGGGTGCTCAGGATTCGATTAAGTCGACAAAGGCCGTTTATGCCTGGATTTTTGCCTGGCCCTGATTAAAGTAGGTTCTACCGGTGAGAAAGTTATCAGAATGGTGGAAAATATGGTAGTCGATTGGTGAAAGGTCTGGAGAGTATGGTGGGTGAGACTGAAGTTCAACGCTCAATTTGTCAATTTTCGGAGCGTGCAGAAAGGCGTTGTCGTGGAGCAGGATCGGATCTCTTCTGTTGACCAGTTCCGGCTGCTGATGAGCAGTTTTCGCAATTTTGTCGATTTTTACACAATAAGACTCTGCTGTGATGATTTGGCCCGACTGCAGAAAGATATAGTGAATCACATCAGGATCGTTTTGGTTGTGCGGAAGCAAAGAAGAATGAACTGAAAACGCGACAGTTTCTGTCGATCGTTCAAATCGTGGGGCAACCACATTTTTTTTCGACCTTTCCAATAAGTTTCGAACCATCAAACTATCAATTATCTCAAAAACTTCACTTCGAAGTGTATCTTGTTCTACAAAAATATCAGAGATACTATGCAGATTACTTTTCTCTGTTGGTTTTAAAGTTTTAAAGCTTTTTACTCTATCTTATTATTGAGTTGTTATTGTCGAAAATAAAAGAGAATTTTTTCGATGACACGTAAGTTTCAATGTTAAAGACGGATGAAGTTGGAAAAATCATAGGAAAAAATTAATGAGAAGTACTGGAAATGGTGAAAAATTTATAGTTTGTACTTGAAAACTGAGCAAATATATTTTATTTCTCACAGCAGCAAGTCGTTACAATATTTACATGGATGACGTCATAGAATAACGAATTGAGAGAAAATGGGTTTCACGACGCCATATTGAAAGGAAATGGTTACTAGTGGTATATTAATGGTATATATATATATATATATATATATA